AACAGTCCTGTTACAATAGGGGCTACAGTCCCAGTAAAGTGGAATATACACTAAGATTTCAGTAAGATGTATAAATATTCTGTAAAGTGATAAAAACATTTCTATATTGACGCAGAGCTGATGGACTCAGCAGAAGCTGTTTCAGAGTCGGGGTGTGGACAGGAAGCTGGTAAATTTAGAAGAAGCTAAAAATGCTGCTGTGTGCGGATGTCCGCAGAGTGAGAGCAGGAGCTCTTTCTCTCTCGTCTCGAGCCCCGGCCTTGTGACTGGGGATTAGAGGCGATTAGTGACAGGGAGCGGGGGGTGCAGAGGAAGAAAGAGGAAGAGGTGCCGAGAGCATTGGCAGGATAGACCTGGTTCTTGCCAGCTGTCTGCCAGGCCACACGCGGCCTGGTCCAGACTGGGCACATGCTTCCCGACTGAAAGTGGACAGGAGAGCTCAAGTCTCTGCCACCTCGCCGCCAGACACAGCCGGTTAGCTGGCTGCAGAAAGGGCAACAGAGAGGAGGTGTGTTCCCATCATGCTTTGTGCTGCCTACAAAACAAGACGATTTTCTTTCTCTAAACGCTTTTCTGGAGCGTCACGGCAGTGCGGGGGCCCTGGATCAATTCTGGATCCTCGATCTGTCTGTGTGGAGTTTGCACGTTTCCCCTGCGTTTGCGTGGGTTTCCTCCAGAGTGGGCCCGTGTGCGTGTGAGTGTGCAGGGTGTGCTCTCCGCTCTGCGCCTGTTGCTTGCAGGGATAAGCTTCAGCTCCGCCCCAGCCCTGAATTGGGAGAAAGGTTAGAAACTGGCCGGGTGGACGAGTGTATTAATCCTGCGATCGCTGCTTGCGTCCGTTGAATCGGACGAAGGGGTTCGAGAAGTGGAAGGGTGGATTTATTAAGATTGTAAGCTTTTGTTTACGAGTCATAACAATCCGTTGTTGATCTTTCCTCCTCTGTCTGGCAGCTGAAGATCTCGTTCAACGAGTCCAGTCTGCAGAGCACGTTTGAGTACCCGTCGGAGAGCAGCGTGTGGGAGAGTGCGGAGGAGGAGGACAGGGAGGGGGAGGACAAGGACGGGGAGGAAGGAGAGGAAGACAGCGGCAGTGAGCGGATCTTCATCCCCCGACCCTCCTACACCAGCTCTCCCACCCACTCCCCCAACACCAGCACGGGTGAGAGGAACGAGTGTGCTGAGCGGGACAGAGCCACCGCGGGAGTCACAGTGCAGTTAGGTTTGGAAGTTGGGCGACAGCTCTCTCTGCTGGACATAAAGGGCACTGCAGTCTGAAACAGGCACAGGGACACTCTGCTCGGGAGAATGGGGGTGCTAGATGTCAGCGCTGGTCAGGAAGAGGGTAAAACCCAAAAACAGAGACAAGTCAAGTATAAAGGCGAGTACTGCCTCTTGATGTCTGGGCTTGTCAAGAGGAACTGATTGATCTTAACGATGTTCTTTATAGCTTTTGGAGTGATGATGCTTTTATACGAGTTTAATAAATGCGTTTCTGTCTCCCTTCGCCCCTGCCTCTCTCAGATCTGTCCAGTTACACTCCGAAGCACTCGGTGGATTTCAGTGCATGGCAGGAACACAAGCTCGAGGACTCTGTTTCCCTGGGGGACCCTTCCTCACGGCGCGCCGAATTGTCTGCTGAGGGAGTGATGGTGAGCGACTGGGTGGGGGGTGGATTGAGAGAGATCAGCCGTGTTTAAAGGCTTCCTGCTCTCGCTGCAGGTTAAACGCTGACCTTGTTTCCCTCTCTCTTCCTTTCTCAGCTCACGCCAGCTGACAGCTCCTCCCTTTCAGACTTCAGCAGTGAGCCGGCACTGTATTTCTGACAAGGCAGAACCCAACAGAACCAACAAGAACAACTCGGGACCAGCCAGAACCAATCAAACCCAGGCTGGACTGGGCTGATTCGTGTACACACAATCATGGGACCAACTAGAACCAGATAAACACTTAGGGCCAGATGGAGCTGCACAGAGTCGGGCAGAGAAGAGTCCAGGCCAGACTGGACTTCAGAACCCGGTGGTTTTTAAACCAACCTTTTAGAGCAGCTAAAGACAGACGAGCTACACAGCCATGTGTTCTGCTCCATCAGAACCTGCTGAGAGCAGTCCCATCGAGCTTGGTCTGACCCATTGAAGGGACTGAGATCCACTCAGTCAGCAGAAGCCAGACACCAGCCAGTGTTAGCAGCACTGGTCACGCAGAAGAAATTAACTGGACTGTTTAGGCTAGACTGGAGTGCACCTCCTACACAATACAACTCCAGCACGCACCAGAACCAACTGGACTCTGGAACCAGATCCACCGAGAGCCAATTATCATGGAGACCCAGGAATTCGGGGTGTGGAGGACAGAACCTACACACTTCTAAAGAAGGAAAAACGAAGAAAATCTGATCGTTTCAAAACGGAAACAGAATGCGAGTCGGAGGGTGCCCAGAGCTGTGGGGCGTTCTTTCCGTCACCTCGCCGTGAGACGTCCTGCCGCTCCTGTCCTTGTTTTTCCCTGGTGGTTGATGGTGTGGTCGGCACCAGGGGGTTCATTCCCATTTCCAGCCCCTCAGGCCACACCAGCAGTGTCCAGCAGAGGAGTAGACCCTGTGCTGCCTGGACTCAGGAACTGTCCATTGCAAGAATGAGAAAGGACCCCCGGCTCCGACCTCTGGTCCGCTCTGTGGGCGTCTTCGGCTTGATGGAGACACTCCTTTGCCACACAGCTGCTAACGGTCTCTGTCTTTTCGAAATGATTATTTTGTGAGGATGAGTGGATTTGGCACTGTGGAGGGAGGTCTAGAGGTGGGCTAAGGGGGAGATCCTCAGGTCTCTGTGCTGCAGATTCCACCACCCGTTTCTTCCGTTTTGAAAGTGCAGCTCCAGCGAGAGACGGCATGGATGAAGGAAAGAGGAATTATTTCTGTTTAGTTTCCTCTTAAACTGTGTTCTGGAAATTACGCTGGATGTTTTTTGGAGAAAGAGGACAGGGAGCAAATTCGGTTTTAGAGCGAAAGGCTCTGATAGGCAGCTCCAGAGTGGGAGACTGTTGGAGAACCAAGCGAGAGACTGAGATATAAGGAGAGGATTCAGTTGTGAGAGTGGTTCTCTGGGCTTCGGCTGCTCTGTAACCTATCAATAATGATGATGACTGCATGCCTGGCATCTCTTGTAAAGGATATAGAAGAGCACAATACGTTCTCAGTTTCAGCAACAAGATCAGACCTTTCCACGGGAGGGCAGTGTTTCCTCATTTCCTGTTATGATCATCATCATTAATGGTTCTCTCAGGGGTGGGTACCTCCAGTCCTGGGCATCTGCATTTGTTTCTGCTTTTCATTCCATTTTCCATTCCATCGACTTTAATGACTAAACTGAACTAATTAAGTGGCTATGAAGTCAAATGCAAAGACGTTTTGCAGGTCTAACCAGGTGCTAATTGAGAGGTAACTCTAAAAAGGGCCAGAGCCTGGCGCTGCGGGACAGGAGCTGCCCGCCCCTGCCCGTTCACCCCCTGCTCAGTGTCGTCTGCATGCCTTCTGTTCTCACGGTGGATTTCCTCCAGTTACTTGATGTTAAAGGAGCAAGAGGGAACGGATAAGAATTTTTTTTATTTTTTCATTTGCACTGTCATTGCTTTGTTTGCACTTATTGTGGGAGGAGATGCATCCAGCTGGCTGGGGGGTGGAGAGCTGCAGCCTCTGAGCCCCCAGACCACGGCAGTGGGCTTGCAGACAGGGAGGGACTGGGGCTTTTAGAAGAGGCTGGTGAGTATTATTGTCAATGCAGGTTTTTAACTCCAGGATACTACGATTCATAGAGTTTTTAAGTTCTTTCAAATTAAAAAAAATTCTCACTTTCCTGCTCCATTCCCAATTTCCTCTAGTTACTGTTCACAGGTCCTGATTAAGCACATTAGTCTCAAGCACTCCTGCTACACGAGCTGCTGTAGCAAACCCAGCGCAGTAGGTGTTCTGTAAGCTCGTGCTCGTGTCGGATTAAGAGCAAGCCCCTGTGTTTAATGAGCAATAAGCAGTGGCTGCCTTTATCAACTAGAAACTCTTAGAGGTGTCCTCCCAAGTGAGCAGTGGAGAGTGACGGAAATCACAGGACACAGCCATGCGCCCTGCAGCCCCTGGAGACCAGGGACTGACCTGCTGCAGAGAGGCTCACTGAGGGCCAGAGCTCTAGCCCACTGTCCACTCTTGCGCCGAGAGAAACTTACCTGTATGTTAAAATAGAAACTGTCACGTCTTATTTCTTTGTATTCTTTTGATCTATGGCATTGGAAAAAAATTAATTGTATCATTTCTACCCAAACAACTTAAAAAATGTTCGTCAGACAACACAAATGCAAATAAAAACTAGATTAAACAAATTGTTTTTCTGGAGTCTCTTGATTGCAGTGGGTTTCTGTCTCCTAAGATGGCGGTATAAAAAACTGTCCCTTAGCTACACCCTGCATGCTTTTCAAAAGTGTCTGTTTACCACGCTGTACGTGTATGATGGTGCAGTTAAATTATACATTTCAACTTGGTGTATTTTTTAGTTTGTTTGTCCTGGGAAAACTGGCCCTGGTGTGATTTGACATATTTGTGGGTGTGGGAGCCCTGCGATGGACTGGTGGTCGCATCCAGGGTGTACCCTACCTTGTGCTGGATAGTGTCCAGCTCCCCTGAGACACTGAAGTGGATGATCGGCATATTTTTAAAAAACAAAGGCTGCTGCAGCTTCTGTAGAAGTATTTATTAAAATCTGTATATTTTATTTTAGAAAAGAAATACAAAAGATTGGTGCATGAAACTCAGAACAGTTTGATTGCAACTACAGATGATCTACAGTCTCTCTGTCAGCACGGAGGCCACAGCAGGGGCATTTCCAGACTCGCGGGAGCCCAGTACGGGCTCTGGTGCTGCAGGGCTCGACTCTCTCCTCTGGGGGGCTGGGTGGTGGCATCAGTGGTCCTTGTGTGCCTTCCGTGGGTCAGCAGCTTTGCCCAGGTTCCCTGCCTCCCTCTTCAGCACACTCAGAAGAGTCTGGGAGCTCTCCAGGATCTGGCCATTGCAGAGAGAAGGGGTAAGGAGGAGAGAGAGGAGTTCTGTTAGCCAAGACAGTTTTCATGAAATCTTCTTTGTTTCAACTCTTCTTTACGCGGAGAGTTGGGAGAACTTTGAGCCTGCCTACTCATCCCTGATATGGGAGTTGATCCCACAGGACCCTTCGGGGAAACAGTTTGATGAGACTCTGTGATTAACTAAGTGAGTCAACTGGAATCTTCTGAACTGGCTCCTCTCTTTGAAAATCTTTCAGATGTTCTCCTAAGATTAAACATGCTGAACCAGCACATACTGAAAAGAGAGTTTTCTTTTTCCTCAAAAATAAAGCTGGGAAAAGAGCTGGACACAGTGGAGCAATTAAGGAGTAGATGGGGGCTGTCATGCTGAAGAGCTCGGAGCTTGGGTACTCCAGGGAGTACAGGCACAGCGGCTCATTAGTGTTATTTTTTCATTAGAGAGATTGGGGGGTGTTAGTCTTTACACATTCCAGAGGGAGCTGGAGTACATGTCCAGGAGAACACTACCCCCCATGCAAAAACAGCAGTTATGCAAGGACATGCTGGATGCCTTTAATGCAGGGTTTACTTAAGTAGTACTGGGACTTCACAAGCACCATGCAACCACAGTGTAGAGACGCATACTGAGACTTTGCCTGATGTCTAGGATGAAGTTTGTAGGGAACAGTATCATTCTTTTATTTGATATGCTGTAGGTGTTAGAGTGTGCAGTGTATGCAGTTGAGATAGTGCGGGATGCAATGTGTGTAGATGTGTAGATGTAGTACTTAGACGTAATGGGATCCAGCACCAGTATGGCCAGCAGAGAAGTTCTCACCTTCATGTACGCGGCCTCAGTCTCAGCGATGGTGCGGTCAAAGTCATTGCGTGAGGCCAGCTTGCGCGCCAGGCTCTCATTGACACGGCTCAACTTCTCGGTCAGGATGCGGATGTCATTCTGGAGCCGAACCTTCTCCTCCTCTTCCTGCTCGATCTGTCTGTTCAGTTCATCCCTCTTCGCACACAGCTCCTCGATACCTGCGCAGCACAGTAACACAGCTCCTCAAGCACCATTCCAACGAGAACCTACAATGGGTTCAGTCAGTGTTTTAACAGGAGCAATTTCAAGTTAAGAAAACACTGAAAAAAAGGAAAAAGCCTTCTTCGTTTGCAGCTTGCACGCTGATGCAGCTATATAGTACTAGTGTATTGTCGTGTCAATACATCCACTGCTGACACTGTCCCTCAGCGTGCCAGCCCAGGCCTGATGACTGCTGCTGTATTTGTGCAGTTCTACCCACCCAAAGCTCTGGGGGCTGGGGAGGTGTCATGGAGGAAGAATCACCATCTCTGCTGGAGGAGTGGACAGTCTCTGAGGTCACAAAACTGGAGGAGGAAGGGATTCTCACCCCAGCTGATCATCAGTCATTTTAATTAGAGTTAACTAAATCAGCGGAGCTGGGCACTCGAGGCATACCGTGGAATACAATGACATCACTTGTGTAATCCCACCTGGGATGTGACTTCAGGGCAGAATTCTGATTTATTGTTTGCCACTGAATGCACAGAAAACAAATTTAATAGGATTTTTGTTCTCCTGCTTGTTTGCAGTGCCTCCCAGCTACACACCCTATGTAAACACACAGCCCCCTTTCAAATCTCTGCCCACACCAGTACCAATTCCGCTCACATACAGTTCAATGACAAAGACCTACTTTGAAGCCAGATACAGTATGAGTCCAGACATCCCTTACAGCCCACAGACACTTCACAACAGGATCGGTCCAGAGAGTCGAGCTGAGCCCGGGAGACCACAGGACTCGAACTACCCCAGCAAAAGACCCTCTCTAATCGGATTCCCACTAACCTCCTGGAAGGCTGTCTTCACTGTGCCTCTAATCCCGACACTCACTGCTCACTGTGAGCGCGGCCCTATGCACATCGACGGTACAGCAGTTTCAACAGTAGCTTGGAAACGCTCGATGAAAAACAGAAACAATTGCATTCAACTCAAAAATGCTAAAATCTTCAGCTATAACAAGAAGCAATCTCCCACACATTCACGCCTCTGCATCCTCCGCTGATTTCGCATTGTGTTCAGAAACCACACAAGCCGTGCCGTTATTTGACACAGGACAGCCTCCAGCTGCGGAGGCGATAGCAAAAGTATTTTATTTCTCGATTTTAAGCAGCACGAATTGCTACCAACTGGTTCAGCGTGCATGGATGCCGGTGTCGCATCATTTAAGGCGAGGAAGCCTGACGCCACCCAGCCGAGCAGCCTGAACTGGCCGCTATGCTGGACATCAGGCTATCACACCGTATTTGTTTCGCTATGGGTCTCAGTCTGACGGGTCGAGAGGATCTCTCCCGCCTCGGGTCACTCACACTTGACCAGCTCGTTGTTGTAGGTCTGCAGCGCCGCTCCCTGCTGGCTCATCCTGCCGGCTCGGCGGGACTCCTGCACGCACTGCCCGGGATGGGCCTCGGCTCCACCCGCCTCTTCGAGACGAATCTCCTTTGCTGGCACGCAGATGAGGCTCGGTCGCAGTGCCCACTTGTCAGTTCAGCTACCCTCTCCCCTGCGTTCCCGTTTCCCCTCTGTCTTCCCTGCGGAGCTGTTGTGCGGCGCTGCCCTCCTCTTCCGGTCAGTTTCCAGGGCAACTGCCTAGCGCAGCTAAACGGCCGCTCTGCTTCCGCCACACTCTACAACGCTCTCTTATTTAATGCTTCTTCTTCGCCTTGCTTTTATCGTGCAGTGTCGGTGATGAGCCGTTTCATATCCACACGGAAGGTTTACGATCTCGTTATTAGACTTAGACGTCTGTTATTAGGGGCATAGCTAACAAAATGGTGGTGACGTCATTACAGTGCGCCGCAGCCGAGCGGGAGAATGCGGTTGGGTAAAAAAATTGTACCCTGGTTTTATGGTTAGAAATATAACGTCTTTGTCTGCATGGGGTGTACATATTCAAGACAGTAATTTGAGGCTGTAGCTCCTTTCTGAGTGGGCAGTTCCAGGAGCTGACCAGGAAAGAGCGGCACCGGAACCACTCGAAGGGCTCAGAACAAGAAACCTGTTACTGATTCGGCTCCAAAAATTATAACAATCGGCGCTTTTCAGGTAAGTCGGCGACGAAACAATTTTGGGCAAAGTTCAGAGTCCAAAGAAGCTTTTGCAGGAAAGACCAGGGTGCGCGGCTGTTGAAGGAGTGTCGGGCAGTGTCTTGAGCAGATTCCCTTACCTACAGTACGACACTGCAGTGTCAGATTCGTTCGGATACTTTAACACAGAAACAAACAATACATAATAATATGTCAGTAGCTGTGGCTTATCAAAATAGGTCCCTCAATGACGTGTATCTTGGATAATGTATCAGGCTGATTTCCGGAGGACAGGCTGATGTACTATAGTAGCGTAATTGAGAATTCATTATCATGGAATCCCCATGTTCCAGTTAAGCCGTGACAGACCTGTCACAATCCCGAGATAAGGCGTGACAGTAAGCTCTCTGGAGGCCGTGAGCACAGGACCCTGAGGGTCCTGGGGGGTTGGGCGCACTGTGACAGCTGGGCTTCCTCATGCCGGGGTGTGTTATAACATGGGGGGCTTCAAAGTCTCAGGCTTCAGGGGAAGGTTTGCGCCTCATTATCTGAAAGCCCCCTGAAAAGAAGCCCCTTCTTTACCGGGTGGGAGGGACCAGAACTAAAGTAGCTTTCCTGCTCGTGTGAGCAGGTACTGAGCCAGCAAACTGTAGCAGCTGCTCCTCTCTCTGACAGCCCGTCCCGCCTGGGGGAGCCATGGACGTGGCCCCGCTGGCCGCCGCCTGGGACAGCGTGACCTCCGTGCTGGTGAGTGGAGTCGCCCGAGGAGGGGGCAGGGCCAGGGGGTGGCACCCTTTATCCTGCTTTTCTGCTGTTCCTAACTGAGCCAGGAAGGGCATTTTCCTGCTCGGATTTTAACAAGTCTCCCTCTTCCTTCCGCCTCCCCGCCCCCTTCCTCCCCCAGGTGTCCCCGGGGCCAGAACCCCCCCTGGAAGAGCCTGTGTCCCAGGCCCTGGCGGTGCTGTGCTCCTGGGGGCTCGGCGGCAGCCTGGAGGCCTGGCTCCTGGAGGCCCTGCAGACGCGGCTGCAGGCGGCCGTGGCCCCCGAGTTCTGGGCTGGGCTGGACCAGCCGGAGAACGGGCTGAGTGAGAGGGAGCGGGCCGCGCTGCTTCTGGGTGCCTTCCGGACTCTGCTGAGCCGCCTGGAGCCCTTCCTGAGGGGGCTGGGGTTGCTGGGGGCCTGGCAGGACGAGGGCCGGGGGGGCCTGAGCGGCCCCGGGGCGCAGGGCCTGAGGGACCGGGCCTTCGCGCTGATCCGGGCCATCCTGCTCTTCTCCCCCGGCGGGGTGCTGCAGGAGCGCGTGCTGGAGTTCTACAGCCGCACCTTCGCCGCTCACATGAGCCGCGAGGAAGGGCAGGACGGGGAGCCAGAGGAGGCCGAGGGCCCCCTGGGGGACGAGGGGGGGCGGTGTCCCGGCTGCAGTATCCCCCCGGAGGAGTGCTGGTGCGAGGAGGCCCTGGAGCAGCTGAGCGAGCTGAGCCACATCCTGTGAGTGAGGGGCCGCGGCGGCGGGGGGGGGGGTGTGCGGAGATGCGCGGCCATGCTGACTCTCTGGCCCCTCGCAGCTCCAGGCTGCAGCTCCAGGAGAGAGTCAGCGCCGAGTCGGTGACGTCCATCCTGCACCAGCTGATTGAGCAGCGCATGGAGCGCCGCTGCCGGGGCGAGTACGAGAGCTCCTTCATCAGCGACTTCCAGCAGGTACTGCCCCCCTCCCTCTGGCCCTCCTGCTGTGTTGCTCCTGGGGAGTTGATCATCCGCCTTGCTCACACTGAATCCCACACACGACAGGCTCAGCAGTCCTGTCTCTGTCACATAGTGAATACAAACAAAAACATGAGCACGGCTCTTTATTTTCATTCAGTCTCTCCACTGTCACTACCAGTGTGGCTGGAGATGAGGCCAGGTTGTTGCTTAAGGATTAGAAGAATCTGGGCAACACAGATCACAGAGCGCGAGGTGTGCTGGTTCGGCCGGTCAGCCCTGTCTCCTCTCCCCCAGTGGCTGGAGCGGGTGCTGGGCTGGCTGGGCCGGGTGTTTGCCAGCGCCGGGGGGCCGGGCAGTGCCGCCTTGCAGCGATGGCGCTGCCACATGCACCAGTTCTTCTGCCGGCTGTACGTCAGCATGAGGATCGAGGAGCTGTTCAGCATCATCCGAGGTGAGACGGGAGGCCCAGGGTGGGAGGAGTGTGAGAGAGCTGAGATAGACTCGTGGAGATGGGGGGCTGTGTTTTGTGGTACTAACTAATACACCTAATGTCCCTTCTCCTTCCCCCTCTCTCCTTCTCTTCATTTCATTTTTCTCTTCCCATTTTTTATCCCCTCTCTCTCCCCCATCCCTCCACTCTCCCGTCGTCTCCCTGTCAGATTTCCCCGAGTCCAAACCAGCCATTGAGGACCTGAAGTTCTGCCTGGAACGGACCAATCAGAGGCAGCAGCTCCTGACGTCTCTCAAGTCCGCTCTGGAGACCCGTCTCCTTCACCCAGGTGACCCAGTGGCACTGTGAGCGGAGGAGATGAAGGAGTCGGTCACTGACAGCGGTGTTACTACCTCGTAACCCGATCTTGTTTCAGATTCTCACAGCCCACTGAGTGAAAACACCCTCTTAGTTTTCACTTCTTTCGTCTTTTAAAGTCAGGAATGAACTGTGTCGTAACATCCAGTCTAGTTCTCCTCCGGTACTTTGGATTGGCCGGCGCTGACTTCCAGCCTGTATCCAGAAGTGCTGCAGGATCGAGTCAGGTGGGCTGGAGGCCTGGGGGATCCCTGTGGGGATGATTGGCCTGTCTTGAACTGGGGTGTGCCGTCTTGCTGTTACAGGTGTGCACACGTCTGACATCATCACGCTGTACATCTCCGCCATCATGGCTCTGCGTGAGCTCGACCCGTCCATGGTGATCCTGCAGGTCGCCTGCGAGCCCATCAGGAGATACCTCAGGTCTGTCTGTCTGCCTGTCTGTCTGTAATGATCTGCTCCTCTGTCTGTGCCCTGGGTATGTCTGTCAGAACTGTCTGTTACTGGAATTATTTTTCACTGGTCCCCAGTATGGAGATTGTTCCAGTGTGGTGATTGGGTTATTCATCCTCAGAACCCGGGAGGACACAGTGCGTCAGATTGTGGCCAGCCTAACAGGCGACGCGGAGGGCTGCAGTGACCTGGCCAATGAGCTGTCGCGTGCTGACCCTGTTACCTTGGAGACGCAGGACAGCGAGGATGAGGGCAGCGACCCCGAGGAGTGGACCCCTGACCCCATTGATGCCCTAACAGGTCAGTCTGACCCCACACATTTGACCCTTTCAGCTCCTTGATGATGACTGACCTCTATCCTCTTCCTGCTCTGTCAGACAAAACAGGCTCCAAGCGCCGCTCCTCTGACATCATCAGCCTGCTGGTCAGTATCTACGGGAGCAAAGACCTCTTCATCAATGAGTACCGCACTGTGCTGGCCGACCGACTCTTGCACCAGCTCAACTACAACACTGCCAGGTGCTCAGCCGCACAGTGCCCGCCCCCTCCCTCTCAGAAGCGTGCTGTACGTGTGTAGTGAGGATGGCAGCTCAGCGTGTTTGTCTCTGCTGCAGGGAGATTCGCAATGTGGAGCTGCTGAAGCTGCGGTTCGGGGAGAGTCACATGCACTACTGTGAGGTCATGCTGAAGGTCAGCCTGGCGGAAACACGTTTATCCCTCCTGTCTGCCACATTCCTGCTCTCACTCTCATTCCTTGAGCTAGAGGGGTTGAAAAGGCCTCCTCTAATCTTGCTTGAATTCCTTCTCTCACTCTCTCTTTCTCTGTCCATTTCACTGATTTATTCATTGTCTGTCCTATGTCGCTCCCTGCGTGCAGGATGTGGCTGACTCGCGGCGCATCAACTCCAACATCCGTGATGAAGAGGCAAAACTTCCGGAGCAAGAGCGCCCCCCGCTGGCCCTGAGCGCCATGATCCTGTCCTCTGAGTTCTGGCCACCACTGAAGGAGGAGAAACTGGAGCTGCCCCCCATCGTTACTCAGGCCATGGAGGCCTACACACACCGATACGAGAAACTGAAGGTACAGGGGCAGAGAGAGCAGGCCCACTCACACCTGCGTGAGAAACTGCTGGGGCAGAGAGAGTGAGAGAGCAGGTCCACTCGCACTTATACGAGAAACTGCTGGGGCAGAGAGAGGGGTGGAACAGCGTTGAGCTGATTGAAGGATCTGCTAACGTTGTAGCGTTGCCTCACTGTCCTTTCTCTGTCTCTCCAGGCAATGAGGACTCTAAGCTGGAAGTCCCATCTGGGCTCCGTGACTCTGGACGTGGAGCTGGGCGACCGGACTCTGTCCAATCTGTCTGTGTCCCCGGTGCACGCAGCCATCATACTGCACTTCCAGGACAAGAGTGAGTGTCTGTCCTCCTCTCCGATTCCCTTGTGTCCTGACCTTCTGTCTCTCCCGTCCTCCATCCGGGTCCTGAGATGTCTCGGCCTGCCTGTGCGTAGACCAGTTTCCTCTGCCTCTGCCTAACCCTTACCCCACACACTCGCTCTCCCTGCCTGCCTCAGGCTCCTGGACGCTCGAGGAGCTCAGTGGAGCCCTCAGCCTGCCGAGTGGGGTGGTGCGCAGGAAGCTGGCGCTGTGGCAGCAGCAGGGGGTCGTGCGGGAGGAGGGCGCGGGGCTGTTCACTGTGGCGGAGGGCGGCGCTGCGCGGGAGCGGCCGGAGAGGGGCGTGGTGCTGATCGACAGCGACGAGGAGGGCGACTCCAACACCGCCACGCAGTCTGAGCAGAGGGAGGAGAAACTGCAGGTAAGCGGCTCAGACCTGCTCCCCTCCCCTCAGAGTCTGACGCAGACCAGGTCAGACAGACACTCCGAAGCCAAGCTGCACTTCACAGTGTTGTTCTGTTTTGTACAATAACTGCTACTGGGCATCTCTGCAGGAAGTAGGATACGTCCTCGCAGAGCAGGTGCTTTGTTGACATCAGAAACATCTGAGGAATCTATACAGAAATTAGAAGAAAAAAAGGTTTCCCTGTGTTGGGGAGCAGTGAGATGTGTCCTGTCTCTCTCTCTCAGCATCTGTCCTGCGCTGGGGAGCAGTGAGATGTACCCCGCTGGCTCTCTCCAGTTTCAGTGCCTCGTTCTCACTCTTTCCCCCAGCTGTTCTGGGCCTACATCCAGGCCATGCTCACCAACCTGGAGACGATGACCCTGGAGAGGATACACAGCATGCTGAGGATGTTCGTCACCATGGGTCCCGTCGTCACGGAGATGGACGTGCAAGAGCTACAGGCCTTCCTGCAAAGGAAAGTCAAAGACCATCAGCTGATCTGCTCAGGAGGCGTGTACAGACTTCCGAAATCACCACACTGACAGGCAGAGCAGTCTGTCATCATCTTACTGAGCAAGAGAGGGGGAGATGGTGAGAGGTGGGGGGTGCAGTTTGGCCATAATACTGTGTAAATAGAGAAAACAGGACAACTCAAGTCCCCTGAAAGATGGAGACATTCTTGTATTCGGGTTAGGGCTGGAACCTGGAGACCTGTACTACAGAAACAGTAGCTAGTGCAGCCAGTGAGCGAGAGATTTGTGGACATGAATTGTATGACGTAACAAGTTTAATAAAGAATGGCGTGGACAAAAACTAATTCTGTGAGTGTTCAGGGAATCTGAACTTTAACTCATTGGTTCAGCCCTCTGCTGGTGTGACGTGTTACAGGCCTGAAACAGTGGCTGTCTTATTGGTAAGTACGCGGATCTGTACTGCAGAATTACCGCCCCGAGGACGCCCCACTGTGGTGAGATGGCGGTAGTGCACCGTATCTGCGCGTCTCCGGGACCGAAAGGTGAGGCGTTATATAGGTAATATGCAAAGGAACAAGTAATAGGTTTATTCCACACTGAAAATAAGAAAGAAAACACAACGTTTCGGCCGTGGAGCCTTCTTCAGGTGCTGACGCAGGTAAACTGCAACCGCCCCTCAGAAGTTTAGATATTTGCGTTTGTTCATGAAGAATAAAAGCATAGGTGGAGGCAAAACTAATAACTGGGTGTTACCTGGAAAACGGTTTACTAAACACTAGCCGTCAAAAGAGAAGCAGTTGTCACAGGCTCCATCGCTAAATCTAAACTGAACAGCAGGAAAGAAGAGACTACGGTTACCTTGTAACGGAACTATTGTTCAACGCCAGTGGTTGCCGGTACGGAGCTAATTTCGAATCGGACTGTAGAAAGTTACCTTCGAAGGGGCCGTAAAAACTGATAATATGTATAATTCACGACAAAGGGAGAATCGTATCTGAGTGCCTGTGGTCTGGGGACCCAGGGTCGTGGTCCTACAGTATATCGGAAATTTGAATAGGAAATAAACCAGTTGCCGACTGCGTCCTGTGACGTTCGACTTTGGGAACCGGTTTCTTCACTCTCCCGGCCGTAACAGCTCTGTTGCAACAGTACAGGTAGGGCTGGCAAACATCTCTGTGGCGTCAAAGTGTACCGAGCTGTGTGTGTCAGGATGGCTGTACTGT